AAAAACAAATCAGCCCATTCCCAGAAACATACTGCGCTCCTCCAGAGGATGGACGCCTTGCGCCATCCACCTCAGTAGGGCCTTGCCATTGCCTGAGTCAGGGGAGGGGCGCAGCACAAATATATGCATGGTATTTGCATAGACATTCATACGTATATGTGTGATATTTGCATATGATAATTATATGCAAATATGTGCCTGTTTGACCCTGCGAGTACCTTTTTATGTGCATTTGCACGAATGTCTGTATGGCCCTATACAAAGCATGTCTACCCTCAGGTATGCACCTTTACAACACGTGTGCACACATTTATATGTTTGTACCCTTTAATGTCACGTGCATGTATCTCTTGATGTGACTTTAGGTATCCACAAATATCTTTATGCAAAGGTCTACATTTTCTCCACGTGTGTACCCACATATGCGTATATCTAAAGAGGTATCAAGAAATTACATATATATAGGGTTTTTTTTTTGTACTAGGGATGGAATCCCTAAGGGACAATTTATTACCCCACCCCCAGCCCCTTTTCTACATTTTATTTAGAGACAGGGTCTCGTTCAGTGGCTGAGGGCCTTGCTAAATGGCTGAGGCTGGCTTTGAACTCACCAGCCTCCTGCCTCAGCCTCCAGAGCCCGCGAGCATGACAGGCGGGTGCCACCGTGCCTGGCCAGAAATAGATCCTTCTGTAGGTCTCTAGGTGAACTCCTAATGCAAATTCTCTGCGTTTGGAAGGGGACGGTCCACACAGACCCACTCAGGATCCTCGAGGGGCTGTGCTTCTGATGCGGGTCATTCTGGCCCGGGGCTGCCGGTCCCTCGGAAGTCTCTCTGCAGTAGCAGCATGCACCCATAGTGGTTTCAATGTGGCAGATACGGTTGGGTGAAGCCGGGAGTCTCCACAGCTGGTCCTGGCGTGAGATTTATCACGTGGACGACGTCACTTTGGCGGGATCACCTTGGCCGTCCTACCCGTCGGTCACCACTGCCCGTGAGCCAGGCTCGGCCTGCTGTCCCTAAGTCCCTCCTTCTCTGTCTGACAGGAGGAGGTGGCGGCGGCGGTGGATACAGCGGTGGACATGGTGACTACGGACACACAGACGGTGCGTCATGTGGGCGCTGGGCAGCGGGGACCCAGATGCTGGAATTTCTGGTTCCCCTTGGGGTCCGCCTGGGCCTGGTATCTGGGGTCCTCGGTCAGCTGGGCCGCCTCGGCTGGGGCCAGGGACTCTGAGCATCTATCTGTGCTGGGAGGACCCCGTCTGTCCCCCGGGAACCCAGGCTCTGCACCCACAGCGTTGTTTAATGGGGAGCGAGACTCTGATGCAGCGTCACCTGAAGGAGCCCACGCGGTGACATGGGAATTCCTTGGGTGGTTGGCCTCCAACTTGTGATCCTCCTGCCTCAGCCTCCAGAGCCGCTGGGATGACAGGCGTGCACCACCGTGCCTGGCCCGAGCTCGGTTCTTGTAACTGGGATCCCACGAGACTGGGAAGCTTGGGGCGTGAGAGAGACACGGCATTTGGGAGGAGCTGTGCTTGCTAACGTCACTCTCCACCCAAAGGGAGGCCCAAAGCAGACTTCATATGTCAATAGCCTGTGGCATTTCACTAATGCAAGAGGTGGGCCGTGTTATCAGTGGATGTAGGCACAACCCTGTGTGGGCAGGGCGGGCTCCTCCCGAGGCCTCTCTCTCCCCTGGGCTTGCAGCCGCCGTCTTCTCCCTGTGTCCTCCCGGGGC